TGTCTCGTCCCATGTTAGGGCTCGGTGACATGGAGCGACGGGGAGATGACATGCTGGGCCTAGGCGTTCAAAGCAAACAGGTTAAGCAGGAACTGATGATTTCGAAAACCTTTAGTGTGGGCTTTGATGGGGTACGTAGGCGTTGCGTCCAGTGCCGTTGCGTGCTGTACTGCACTTCACAGTGCAGTTCGTCGTACCCTGTGCAGCGCCTGGTGTATTGTCCGGTGCCATGTTGGACGTTTCCCTGCTATCGTGTTCGGCTGGCAGCTGGCAGCAGAAGCGGCAGCAGCAGCAGCGACAGTGATCGTTACAAGGCAAAGCAAACACCTGTAGGAATGCGTGAGCTATTATGGATAAGATTTTATGCATGTCTTTTCGCCCGTGAACCCAAACAAGACGGCCTCATGAACCACCTCATCGTACCTTGCTGATTATTCCTTCCCCTCCGCCCATCCTCCTGCCCCGTCCTCCCGCCTGCCTCTGGTACGTCCTTATGGCTGCGCGGCGGCCGTATATCAACACCAATGCCGAGGGCGCAACGATTGGGCGCTACACGAGCTGCAGTCCTTGCATGAGCCCCTGAATTTCAAGATACCTCGCGCTTTGCGGTTGGTCGTACTGTTTAGGGTTTTCAGTTCCGCATTTTGTTGGGAGCGTGCAATCATGTCTGCCTGGCGGTCTGCTGCGACAGCAGCAGTAGCAGCAAAGCAGTAGCAAAGCAAACGATATCATCCCCTCCCGCCCCACCCCACCTGTTCCCCGAACCGCGTACCCTCCTTTTGACCGGCGGCGCTTGGCGGTATCTACGGTGCAAGCACCCTCCAGATGATACATGCGGTAAGTCGGCGATATGGATCCGTGCCGTATTGTGGCGTGTACTACATGTTTCGTGTCGCCGTGCCGATTGTGTTTTCCTGCGCCGCGTATCGCGTGATTATGCAGTCGTACTTGGCTGGCGGTTGGTGGCAGCAGCAGCAACAGCAACAGCAGGAGCAACAGGAGCAAAGCGCAGCGGAGCAGACCCCTTAAGGAAAGGTGTCCAGCCCTAAAACAAAGTCCGGATTAGCGTTGCTAGCCACCGTCCAAGCATGATTGCTGTGTATCTCAGTATGTGCCTGTGTTTAATGACCTCGTAGTGGGAAACGCTGCCCGTCGCGGTAATGGACGCCGCGCTATCGCTCCAC